ACGCTGCGTCACGAGCGTGCCTGTACCAATGTTACGAACGTTGTTCCAAATAAACGCCGTATTCTTATTTTCCTTCTTCACACACAAGCAGTTTAATATTTGAACTTTAACATATGCATTTGACTAAATCAAGGTGGAAGATCCGAATATACAGGAAATGTATGATGTAACAATACAATCTTACAAGATTTGTTATGCTCGACGCAAATTGCGTTACGTAAATACGCATCGCGCATTTATGCGTGCGAATTTTGTACAATCTCAGTAGTTCTCATCATTTCTCCACTAATGTTGCTATTTTGTTGTTTTATAATTTCTCATTACTTCTGACCAATTACTTAAACATTGAATAATCAACTAAACAATTTAAATATTGACGCTATGTACATTTGGAAAATTATAAAGTTGAACCTCGCTTAACGTGTTTAATCTGTTCCAAAATTTCCGGATTTTTACTCATATAGTGAAAGATATTCAAAAATGATGAAGAAGGCGCTTAATCCAGAACTTCTCTTCTCATCGTTACTCGTTATGCAAAACGTCGCTCATTAAGCGAGTCATTTTCTTACAATTCATTTTGCTCGTTAAGCGAGGTTCCACTGTATTTAGTTAAGCAATGCCTGAAACAGATAATATTTGGATCGGTGATATACCAAATAACGAACTACTTTTTATTGTTATAAAATAGAAACACTACTAAAAATATTTTAATAATAAAAGAGTAAAATTGAAGTTGAATCCTTTATTTAATTATTATTTTCATTAAAATTGATGTCGTGATGCGATAGATTATTGAATGTATATTCAGATTGTTCTCGTTTCTTGAACGTGATCTTCCAAGATGTGTGACTAGTGAACATGTGTAAGGTTTAGTTGATATGTTCTTGATTTGTATCCATTTCTGAGATATTTCAGTAATTACCTAAAAGCATCGCTAGAAATTTTAGTATATTGCAGGATGTAAATCTATTTACCAGAATGCATTTGATATTAATTGCTAATTGGAATTCTTGTAAATACTGAGAGAGATAGAGAGAAGAATGAAATATGAATGTAACCTGGTTTTCTTTATTCATGATTCCTCGATCCATTATAAGATGTAAATAATGTGTTATTTATAACGTCAACTTTGATTAAGTGTATCAAGTTTTTCTGAGAGACTGTTCTTCTCTCAAACGAATACAAATTAAGAATTATAAAAATTTCTCTTCGCAATTTAGAAATTTTAATTACGAATACTATACATTCATAAGTTGAATTGTAAATGTAATTTTTAGCTCCAGTTAATCCAATGAATTGAAGAGTACGTTAGGAATTGGTATAAAGTTGCCAATGGGATTTAAGATGTATAAAAAGTATTGCTCGTTGATTCTAGCAAATAACAACAGTATGTTTGATAGATGTAATGTAGGTAAGTAGAATTGGATTCAAGTTAGAAATGCCGATGCGATCGAACGGAAAAAGTGGCCTACCAATTTCGAATGTACTTTCTTTAAAAATTATTGTTGTAAACCGGTCGAGCAATTATTTGCGTTTGCACAGTAAATTATTAATATTACCACAGTCCGGGCCGCTCCTTTATTACAAGAAAGTTTTCACATCGCAACGTCCCAGAAATTCGTGTCCGCCATACGCACCAATTCCATCCAACATCCATTCTGCTTTCATCTGATCACACAGCTCACACTTAACACTCTTAATAACTTACACATACATTTAATTGATTCCATATCCCATTGCACAACGCACTCTATAATTTATACCCACCTTTTTTTTTATTTTTGCATTCATCTCAAGGACTTATCCTCGCTCTACTCTTCGAACAACATATGGAACGAAATTTGAATTATTAACGTAACAATATTTTGCGATTATTGCCAAAAAAAATATATTTACAACAAAATATGCTCCGTAGTAAAGAGTAAAATCTGCTGATGTTCATCTACGACAACAATAACGTTGGTAAAAGCGCAACTAATAGAGGTGATGGCAATAATGAATTGTGGAAATTCTCTTTAGAAACCACAAACAATAGTTCTGCTCTTTTCTTTTTATGAAAGTTCTCATTGCGTTCGGTTTCCGGCACAGAAATTAAAAAAAAACTACTAATTAATATGCAAGTCGGGAAGATCTAAGCGGCGTGACTGTCGGGGTTTCCTTTTTAAGTAATCGAAGACGTTAACCTTTTTTTTTCGTACTGTACAAGGGTGTGATTAGACACGTAATGGCGGCGTGTATTGTGTAATGTATAATGCTATTCAGATATTCTTCGGTTGGCGCGCGCGTGTTACGATTTGGATTAATCAATGTCAAATCCAAATACGTTGAAGAAATATCACTTTTATATTTACAGCTACAATTCTAATTAAAGAAATAATATGACCAATACTTATTTAATTTCTAAAATTGATATCAAATGATGTTTGAAATTGAATAGAAATCGCACTGTTTCAACTGAATGAATGCACAAATTACAATTTAGACTAGAATCTAGTTCGAATAATAACTATATTTCAATTTTATGTGTAATGCGTGTTTCTGTTTGTGAACAACATAACAATAAAAGATATATTTTCTTGAATTTTTATGCAAATATAAACACGACGAATCGTAGCTTGTTTGTACGTTTAAACGAAAGTTATTGGGCTACGAAAAAAAGTGAGTTTTGAATAATAGATAAGAGAGTAATAAAAATGTAGTTGTAGCTGCGAATCGCAAGACGTGGGAACGGCTTTTTTTTAGTTCTTAACAATTCTATTGGTTCTATCGTTCGGGTCGGCCCGCAAATCATTTTTTGTATCAAAATCTAAACCAATCGACACATGGGCACGAATATTAAATAGTTTCGTTTCAAATTTATTGAGAGAAATCTAATTTATCTTAGAAGTAATTAAAAATTAACTATTTAAAAGCATTTTCTATATTTTTCAATAAAAATAAACAATTGCAATGAAATGACAATCGCTTGTGTAGCTGCGAATCATCGTCATCGAGGAAGAATTTTGTGTAAAGATCGTTGGCCTCCGGTTATTGAAACCTAGGTCGGTGAGTATCCCGTGAAGATAATCGCACTCGGTTGTCCGCATCGGTTCAGTGAAAGTACGCCGCAGACATAGACCAGCAAAGCAACACTTCACAGGTATATTATTTGCGCACGGGGCTCTCACAAGGTATGCGGAAATGGAGGATTTTGCCCATTGCCATTTTATTTATATTTATGCAACGCGAATTCCCTATTAAATAACTGCCAGGGATAATGGGATTCCGTACACGTCTGATTCGATATTTCCTCCTCTTTATCGAAGCACTTTCCTAAGCGACTTCCGCTTTGGTCAACAAACTAAATAAGTGACGCAGTATCGAAACAAATGATCGATTTCACTTTATATTTATATTTTAATGCCAGGTGTACCAACAATTTTATACACATGATAATGCAGTGTGCAAATCAGTATATATTTTATCAAACGAGATCTCCAATAGAAATACTTAGAAAATTTAATAGTATCATTTAACAATAAATACTATACTAGATTTAACTATACTATAGTAGCCTATAAACAATATTAAACTATTAGCAAATTTTGAAATACATTAGTTTGATTGAGACTAGATTTAGTAATTTTTTTAAATTTTTGTATTTAATTAGTGTAAATTTGCACCTTTTTCTTATTAAATCTTAATATAAATTAAAAATCAAGAATAGAAAAGCATTGCTTTTTTAGTTCTAATTTGTAATTTTAAAAGATATTAACTTAACAAGTATTTCTCAGTACAATACTTAAAGCAATTACAATTGTTGTGAAAATGAAAATCTCGGATGATCGATTAAAGTGTTTGTCTAATTGCGTTTACCTCTTAGGCACTTGCAAACGAATTCAGTTAAAATGCAATTACCCGATTTACCAACTCACTTGGAAACTTGATATTAAAGTAATCGCTTTGTTTCCAATCATAATACGCGCCTTTCTTAAGCACCAATCATAAATCAACTCAACGGTTTATTTTGTTTGTTTCTTTCCGTCACTTCTGCAATTTCAGCTAACGTTGAAGCAACTGCAATTGCAACAAAAAAAAAAGAAACAACATCCGTTATTTCTGTAGAAATTAAATTATTTCTATTGCGCATTATTGATAATTAGAGAAAATATTATTTTATGAAATAATGAATATTTATTTTTATAAACATCTTCAGTGCAGGAATTTCCAATGCAGTGATTGCGGTTTCATGATCTTTACACAGCGTCGATATATCTGTTTAATCAGATGCATGATTTTACGGTATAAGATAATTGGCACGTGCATCATCTTAAAATATAGGAATAAAAGTGAAGATGATTTTCAATATTACATACTCAATTGCGGATATGCTGTTGATGGTAAAATACATATTACTGTGGTTTCTTCCATTTCGCTGTAATTCGTGTTCAAATTAGAAAAAAATAAAAATTATTATTTTTTTTCATTTTAGTGATTTTCTGAGAAACTTTAATGGATTTAACGCATCCAAAATATGTATATGAAAGCTGGATGTTTGGGAAAAATTCGCGTTCAAAGTTGCAAAAATGAAAAATTAACGTTTGAAGAAGCACCGATTTTCTCAGAAACTATAATAGCTTGAATAGATTCAAAAAAATGCATATGCAATCTGGGTCTAGTATTAATATTTACAACACCTTTTGAATTAAAACTGTAGAAGATACTTATCTTTAACATATAATTAATATGATTACATCGTATAAAAACGCATTGTCTCGAAATACCTTTATATTACAAAACCCACTCGACGCAATTACCATAACACACATTTATGTTTCTGCCCATAAGAGGACGTAAGTTATGCAATGGACCAACCTTCCTTATTCATTCCCTTACATCTGTTAGACATAAACACACCACTATACCACATAATTATATCAATTATTCATTTATTCCTTTGCATAAACACTTCAATGACATTACGATTGCAAAACTGATGTTTCTTTTCTTACTTTTTGCAGATCTGTCCGTCACCAATGTGTTACCTCTTGCGGTAGTCAACGTAAAATCTTCGAGCCCAAGATGATGGGTGCGATTGTAGGCGTCGCGACGCTCGCTCTATTCAATCTGATAGTACCAGCGACGACGCATGTCGCCCTCACGTATCCACCAGCCAGGAAATACGACTTGGATTTTCTGGACAGTTCCAGAACCAAAGCACCTTGCGGCATGCCCAAAGGTAAAGTTTATTTTTTCACATTCAATAACATTTTCACTTACCCGAGGCTAAAGAAAGCAAAATTAAAAAACATACAAATCTTAATAGCATTCCTCGCCTTACAAAATTACGCAACATTCAAATTGTTGCTATCTCGCAACTGCAAAAGAAAAAAAAACGAAGAATAGTCCCATGCAACAAACGGTTCCCAATGAATTACTGTTACTGCATACATTATGAAACTTTGTTATGATTTTCGTGGGAACGAGCCTACCTGCACATAATATTCGTCCAAAAGTAAAAAATGCTCTTCTAATGCATTTTTAATTTCGTGGACAATTTTTGATTATCTTTTTTTTTCACGAAAGTTTAAAGTAAAAGGCGAGCTTGCAAATCGTCGTTTAATCATTTACTTAACGCCGGTCGTTGTGCAATTCCTGCAAAACCAACAATAAAAAATTAGAACATTTGCAGCGGAAATGTCTTCCGGAGAAAGGCGTATTCAAAAGTATTCGTTCTTCATAGTCATTTAAAGAAATACACAGTGTTTCTTTTAAGTTGCTCGTTCATTTTGACGATGCAATAAATTTGTAATTACATAATGTAATTATAAATATTTTCGTTCCAGAAATACTAAATAAATTTTGGAGGAAATTGCAATGTATATTTACAATATTAATAACAGCAGACATTTTGTGCAATAAATAATGTAGACTATTACAAATATCCGATAAGGTAATAGTTCAGAGTTAGCAGAAAAGTAGGTTAAGATGAAAGGCTACTTCGTTCGCTCCGATTTTTAATGCACTCTCACTGCAACACGAAAGCATGCAGTTTTCAACCAAAAATAAATTTTAACATTTCTAGTAGTTATGTTAATACAAAAAGTCAAATGCAGACATTGTGTTTTATCATTATATTTATTGTGTCTTATCATATTTAAGAGCTGTTGTTGGTAAAGTTTAGACTAAATCATTTAAAAGTATGGTATAATGAGCGAGTAAATTGGAGGTTGAAGACCTCGAGCATAAACTTTCATGTACTAAGAGATATATTCACGAAAAAAAATCGTGATACAATTGATACAACAGTCGCATTGACATTGATGCAAAGAGTAAAACGCTGTTAAAGTGATGAGCAAACCACAAAATTGCGCAGATCGGTAAATATAAAATTAAGTTTAATTGTAAAGAGAGACCGTTGGTTAATAGACAACAATGGATTTGCGGGAGCGCAAAGGATCCGCTCTTCTGATTCTTGTCCATTGTACGAACTTGCTTATTATGTATGCTTTGGTAGTTAGAAGAAGCGATGAACTTTCGTTTTCGTGTGTGTATTGTATGTACACTTCTTTTTTTTGTACGCTTCTTCTTTTTTTTCGAAATTGAGCACAGCCAGATAAACGCAATGCTAATTGTACAACAAACGTTTTAATTGCCACATAGGAACTAATAATGAGCAAAGCGCGAAACTGGATTGTTCAAGCAAACTAATTGAAGATTCATTAATATTCATCGATGAGGAAATGTGAGCGCTTTCTAAACGCGTAGCTTGTGCTTGTAGAATCTTTACTGTCTAGAAAATAATCGAGAAACTGGAAATATTTGTATTTATTTAGAGTTTTTGCTAGATTTATTTTAGAATCCTAGCGTATACGGGTTTCGTACGCCCACCATTTGCGAAGCATGCAGTCGACGGCCTTGGATTCTCCGTGAATCATCGTGTGCGACAGAGAAATTGTTCTATCCTTGGTTCATATTTCATTTGGACTCGACAATAAAAACATAAATTCATTTATAACTGTACTTTATGCTTGACTTGTTCAGATATTGTAATTATATTATCTAATAACAATTAATTAATTGCTAATATACTATAAAAACTTTACTTATTGACTTTGCACATAATGAAATATGATTACGTCATGAAATTTACTAGTTATTAGTTTGCTTTAAATATATCGGAAATACTTTTTTTTTCTTAAGATTTCTAACATTTAGTATTTGTATGTAAAATTGCTAATTCGAATTGTTTATTGTTTTTAAAAACGGAATATGGCGAAACAAAGACGTTTAAAGCATATTAACATTTTTTCAACGTCTGTAACTTCCGGTCGCAGGAAGTCGTCTTTAATTTTAGCACGGCAATCTTCATATTAAGACGTTCCAACATTTGCTTGAATTTTCTTTTTTTTTATATATATTATTAATTAACTATTAAGCCCAGAACTAGAGCATGTTATATGTTTTTCTTTTTTTGTAGATAGATTATAGAAATAATAATAAAAACAAATATAATTATAAATTTCTTTGATGCTGAACTTGAAATTGTGGTAATTGCATTTTATACAGTACTTTTTTTTTCCTTAAATTGATATTATGTTGCTTAGAAAGCCGAAAAGGCGAATCATTACCGGACAGTCGGAAAGGTAACTCAAGGTCCATGAATTTTGAGGTCGTCATGAAGGTTTTTACAAATAATCTATTCGAATGATGACCAAACATTAAATGTTGGACAAGACATAAAGAACGTTGGTTTTCTAATATTGGATTACTTAAATAACTATACTATTTTAATTACTTTTTTTATATTATTTTTTTTTAAAGTGTTCAAATGCATAACGATCTAATTTTTCTTAGTAGAGGATTATATGAAATTTTACAGTATGGTTTTGTAGTAATAATGATGATTTTACTTCTTAGATTCTTTAAATATTCTCATACGTTCAATGCTTACGACTTAATCAATTTGTTTGGCGGATCTTTCAACTAAAATACATTTGCGGTAGTTGCGAAATTCGAATGTTGCAATCGTTTGAAAATAGCGAAACGATACTGATCTGCAATTAGGTGGGCGTTATCTTCCCATATGTACATACGTCCATTACGAAACAAACCATCGCGATTGTTTTATTCAATAAATTCCTCGGATAATTATCCATCCATAAATTCATGCAGGTCCATGCAATAATTTCCAACAACCACGATTCATAAACCAACAACAACAAAAAAACAACCAATATTATTTCTTGTAGCAGGAAAACATTCGAATGTTCAACGATTTGCAAGGATAAACAGAAAGTGAAGTGAACAGAAATGTAATTCGTGACAGGAGTTTTATGAAATTTGCGGTTTCCCCAACCGAAGGAAATCCGGAAAACGAGGAAACGCTCTCTGATTTCTAAATAACCAAGTTGCAAACTTGAATATTTATTGAAGAGAAAATTGTACGTCTGCGTTACAGATTACATGCAATTTCAGGATATGTAGGTTATATATCCAATTGCATACTTAATGCGGGAAATTGGTGCACTGAATGCAGATAAATAAGTGCATTGATTAGATTAATAATAAAAAACAAACGGCAATGACACGGTTTTCCTGTTATAGACGTTTTACATGAATTGGAAGTTTCGCATTATATTCTCTAAATACCCAAACATGGAATTAAGTACTCCCATTTCTCGTTCTTATTGCATTCATTTAAATATAACATTGACTTAATGTCTGTTTACAGAAAATGAAGCTTAATTGCAAATAACGTGAGATTATTACAATTGTAGTTCGGTATCATTGGATATATCAATCAACAATCAGACAGAGCGTGAAAATCACTCATCTATAAATACTAAATAGAAGTTTGTAATTAGCCATGACTAGAAATGCAATTCCTAATTAATCGATTGACTAGTTTCTAAGTAAACGCGCGTGTTCATTGAACTTTTTTTGTCACTAAAACTTACGCAATTGAATCATTTATGAAATGCGGTTTCTGCTAGTTGTTATAATTTAATTACTTTGTTTAGATATTGGAAATCTATTAAATGAATTATTGTTTTATTCGCAGGAAATATAAAAACAACGATTCTCTCTGGAAGCAAATTTAATGTGTCCTGGCATCTTGGATATCCACACAGGGTAAATGACAAACTCTTAAAACAATTCATTTGAAACTTACTGATTCCTTTTTTCAGGGTGGTTTCAAGATTCAGTTACTGGATGAACTGGAGAGACCAGTATTAGATTTAACACCGACAATCAAAGGTTCAGAATTTGATGCCACCGATGCTACGTAAGTATTTTTTTGTATTTCATTTTATCTTATTATTTAATTTATTTCTTTGTTTAGTGCTCAATCCTACCAAATCCAATTACCCCAGAATTACACGTGCAGTAATTGCACTTTGAGACTGATCAGACAAGCCATTGAATGGGGATCGAATTACAAGTTTTGGTCCTGCGCCGATGTTGACATTAAAGCCCGTAGGATTTCTCAATGCAATCAAAAAGTCCGTAAATTACTCTGATTTAATTATTTACAGGGAGGGAATTTCGAGAATCTTGCAGTGGACATGGAAAATATCTTTTGGCCAGATGCAAATGCGATAGGCTTTATTACGGAAGCCGTTGCGAATTCAGAGATGAGTGCATCGAAGACGGAGACTGCGGAAACCACGGAAAATGCGTTAATGTCGAAGCAACTACTGCCCCTAAAAAGCAATGCTATTGCCAATTGGGTTGGTTCGGCCCTGGTTGCAATAGAAGTAAAGTAATTAATAATTTGATTGGTCAATAATACTAATAATATTATTTCTAGAATCTGCCATTCGTTCGACTGAAATTGATTTTGAGCTTTACACTGAACGGAAATTGAGCGACAATTTTAAACTTTATTGGAGGATCCTCAAGGAGCATAAAGAAATTGAAGTGGTTATGGTTGTAAATGGAACGAGTTACGCTGGTCTGGGATGGCGTCCAAAATCTTTGACTAAAAGCTGCAAGAACTGGCCTCTGATTGGAGCAGTTGCTAACAAATTGGTGGTCGAACCTCAAGCAGAACCTGAACCAAAATCTGAACCCGAGCCTAAATCTGAACCTGAACCCACCGCAGAACCTAAATCAGAACCAGAACCTACGGCTGAACCGAAGAGCGAACCAGAACCAGACACAACCACCGATAAAAAATCAGTTTATTCTCGTAGATCCGCTAGTCCAAGAGGTTTTTCTCAAGTTCCTGATGGTACTGTAGAAACTAGCGTTTCCTTCCAAATAAGCGCTAAGCAAGGTACGTAAAACGCGTGTAAATGAATTAAACTAAATGAACTAAAAATTAATGCAAATTTTATTTTATAGGTAGAAGAAGGCGTTCACCAGAAGGTATGTTACTTAATATTATAACTGTAGTTAAATATTGTTCTCCTATTAGATGACTATATTTTATACTTGCTCTTTCGTAAGACATTTGTTTTGTTATATTTAAGTAGATAAGGAATAACCAAATGATTACATACTAATTGGGTGGTTGGTCACTGTATTTCTTATAGAACCTAAAGCGGAACCCGTAGCTACGAAGGCACCGATCTCAGAACCCGAACCCGAACCTAAGTCTGAGCCCGAACCCACGGCAGAACCGTTATCAGAACCCGAACCTACATCCGAACCTAAATCAGAACCCGAACCCACTGCAGAACCGGAAGCGGAACCCAAATCTGAACCAGAACCCGAACCAAAATCCGAACCAGAACCCGAGCCCAAATCGGAACCAGAACCTGAACCCAAATCTGAGCCAGAACCTGAACCTAAATCCGAACCTGAACCTGAGCCTAAATCTGAACCAGAACCAAACGTAGATGCTGCAAATGGTAAGTAACACATAAATCACCATCATTTACTAATTTTCCATGTCCATTATTTTAACACATTCTTTATATATAGTAACAAATTTTAAGAGATAAGTAGATATAATATATGAATTTAATTCGTTAATTAGGTAAAGATGAACTGTTAAATCCTTACACTCCTCGACATGATTTCAATCCAATGGACTGCACTGATATTATAATCGGATCGGCTCGTGATACCGCAAGTAGAATTTCCGATTATTATACTAGGGATCGTTCGACTCCGAGGATGGACACTTTCTGGGGTGGAAAGAATGACTTAACTGCTGCTATGGGTTTCGAGAAGGACGGAGTGACCACTATTGCTTTCCGTAAGAAATTGGAGGCCAAAGAACCGTCCGACCATTCAATCGTCGATGAATTAATGCATGTCATTTGGGCACGAGGCCAAGAAACTGGAAAGTATGTTCATTCCCCCAAGTCTGGCATCGAATCGTCGAATGCTAAAGTAACTGACTTCTACAAACCAGATGAACTTAAATATCATGGTCACGGAGCACAACGCGGAGCGTTGTCAATTAATTTCTTTGGTAAATTTATAAATGCAATTCAACTGCGATGTCCTATATCATATTCTATTTTTACCTATCAGATGAGAAAAAGTCCGTTTCTGAAGCAACAAACTCGATAACTGTAGATGGTCAGCCACCGTCCGATGACGAACCCCAGTGCAGAGGTGAATGGAAAACACCGAGGAATTGTAAATCTGAAAATGGAAGTTGCGAGTATTCTGCTGAATGGCAATACGTTCGAGGTGATAATATACGATTTACAATTACCACCAACAATTCAGACACTTGGACTGGAATTGCATTTTCTAAAAATGAAAAGATGGTAAGAGAATACATTTCATTTACATAATCAACAAAACTAATCTATTGTTTTTTATTTAGTCGCAATCGGATGCGATCATTGGTTGGGTTGATAAAAAATCAGGAAGACCTTTCTTGATGGATACGTGGATAACTGGTTACACGCAACCGCTTTTGGACAGTTCTCAAAATATATTTAACATAACCGGAAACATCATCGACGGAATTACTACTTTATCCTTCACCAGAAAGAGAATTTCCACAGATCCAAGAGATTTGTCCTTCACAGATGACCAATGTCTGTTCCTTATGTTTCCTGTCAAAGGCGGAGCCTTCAATTCCGTCAATAAAAAGATCCGCAAGCATGAAGTAATTCCGGTCGTGTCCACTGAAAAAGTCTGCTTCAAGTCGTGTAAATTAGAGGATATCCTTGACGAGATGACTGTAACCGAGTCACCATCCATAGATTACAGTATTGAAGTTAAAATTATTGAATTAGGAGAGAACTTCCAAACACCTAAGAAGGGCTCCATTCAATTTGATGATCTCTCCAATTCAATTACAAATAATTTCAAGCCGCTGTTCAATAAACTTCCTGGTTACAAACGCGCCACAGTTGAAGAACTTAAAGAGTAAAATGTTAATCAAACATTGAAAAATATTTGCTTATAATGGTGTATCTTTTTAGGGATAATAATAATGTCATAGCTGTAATGAAAGTCCAATTGGATAAGGCCGAGAAGGGAAGATCTCTGAGCGATGCAAGTGAACATAATGAACATATCCAAAGTATTTTGGAGGAAAGCGTTAAAACTGGACAGATCGGTGCATTGAAAGTGGATCCTACACATTTCTATTTCGAAGCTCAAAGTTGTAAGTGATATTATGGTTCAATGAATTTTGGTGATATCCTAATGTGTTGATTTTTTTAAGTGATTTCCAATATAGTTGTGGATAGTACATCAACGAGCGATGAAAGCTTCTTCAGTTTACCTGAATCTAAATTATATATTGTGCTGGGATGTATTGCTGCCTTGGTGCTTGTGGCGATAGTACAGGCTAGTTGCACCATTTACAAAGCCGCGGCGAAGACTTCATCCAGTCATAAGGTAACCGCACTGTGACCTCACTCTAAAGGGCAAGTAGCTTCGTGACATGTATATTGTGTTGCTTTTTGTATCAAGACTTAAAAAAGAAAACGAGAAAAGATTTATCATATTGCCTATTTAGAGTCTAGGGGCTACTTCGCTTGCCATTTAATGTTGTTATTTTTTTTTGCATGTCTTTAAAAAAAAAGTGTACAGCTTTATCTATTGTTTTTGTATATGTGCTGAAATAGAGGGTGTACAGTGTCCATCTGGACCCGGTATATTACCAAGGAAGTTACTCCTTACGCGGCAGGGGTAATCACTTACCCCACTGGCCATCGTCGACGATGGACAGATCGCCACACTGGTAACCAGTGGGGTAAGTCAACACCCTTTGTAGACAACTGTAGATATACTCTTTTTTTACCCTCTAAGCTGCTTCTTAAAGAAAAATGCACATTGATTATCACGTAACCTTTGGTGGTGGCCGCACAACAGCACATTTGATCAATCATTTAAAACTGTATCTGTTCAGGACCATTTGATACCTAATTCGGCATGGAAGGATTATTCAGCAGCAAATACCAATTACGCATTCGACACGTACGAAGAAGACAAGAAGCAGATGAACGGCAAAACGAGAAGCGAAACGTTGCCAGCAAAGAACAACTCTCGTGGTCAGAGGCCACAGGGACGACCTCCGGGTGTTCTAAACCAACACTACATGCCCGACACTAGATCTCTGCAAAGACCCAGAGGGCAATATCCACCTAGCAGCTTGGAACGCAGCACGTTCTCTCTGCCTAGGACCGCTTACGACCGCAACAGGCAACCTCAGGACATGCAACCTGACTTTTACTTTATGCCCTCGCAACGAAAGTATTCCGGGGAAGTCGTTAGAGTCTATGTAGATTACAACAATCAACCGAAATGAACTGATTACCTTTACTAGAATAGTCCGTCCATGTTATTATTATTTTTATTACAATTTTTAATAAACTTTAGTTACGTATTTCTAAATGTAAAAAAAAGAGAAACACATGCAGAAAGAACAATCAGTTTTCTTTAGGTAGTGACCAAAGTTTTACCCTAACTAAGTCAGCAAAGGTATAAGAAAAGAATTTTGTTTTGCAAACCAAATAGTAAATAGAAACAGGAGAAATGATGCAATAGTTTGTACAACAATTGTAAATATAAATATTTATAATGTATGATTATTATTAATTTTAACTTAATTGATAAAAATATGAATGTTTTAATTGTATATATAAAAGATTAATTATGTTACTTTTTTTTATAATTAAACAGTTTTTTTTTAAATTAATTATTTTAATACCAAAATATTGTTTCAGATTATTTTCTTTCGCTTGAAAAACCGGTATAAACATAAATTCATTGAAAAACAGAATTTAATTAGAAACCACCTACAATGAAAAGAAAATTATTTAGTGGAAAAAAAAAATAAGAAAAACATCTCCTTTTAATTTCTAATAAGTACACAAAAAAAGGTTAATTAAGTTAAGTAGTGAGTAAAGAAAAGAAGTATAGAAAATATAATTTTATTAATAAATTTACTTTTGACTATAATACATATCAAAACTCTCCTTGTATCATTATAACAAATGCACCATTAAAAAAATGCAACAATAAATTCTCGAATTGTAGAAATAATTTTTACTAATGATATTAAAACTTAAAACGGCACGGACATTTTTCATATAATTATAACAGATTCCATCACCACAACAATCCGGTTCAGGAAGTTATTACTAAATTTTAGAATTCGAATAAACTATATTAATGTTTATTCCAAGTTCGTTACACGTATACGCTAATATTTCATTAAACAAAATATAAGTATTGGATGATTTGAAACAACCCCTGCATCGTATACTTATATTTTTGGCATTCAAGGTAACTATAGGCTTCATTTCACTTAAAATTAATTCTCGTCAAAGAAACGCAAAAAAAAATACAATCCTTTCATCATTGGCATCAAATTGCTCCATTCGTTTGTAAAATAGATAAATATCAAAGTCTTTAAACTATAAACTAATACTAATCAATGAATACCAGACGACAGTTTCGTGATGATAAATAAGAAAATAACATTATTATATAGTTGAACATGCAATCTGGTTATTTTTGATTAGATTTGGTATCACAATTTAAAAGTATTGTTTGAATTGGTTTACATATATTATTACTTAGAATCCTATATATAAATATCACTTTGTGAATGAATGTTAAGTTATAATGGATTTGTTGCCACCGCGATAGAAAGGCTCATCGGAATCCAACAGATCGTCATCAGCCGACAACAGGATGTCGTTTTCCGAATTCCTGCGTCTGTTCTTCTTGCTCACCGATCTGTACTGAATTTTTACTTTTTGCAGTAAACCGTCTTCAAAGTTGTTCCTCTTTATAAATCTCACAGGTTTCGAGCGATGCATCAAAAAGTTGTCAGTCACCCAGAACATTAAAATCTAAATACATTAACAATACATAAAACTAACTTTCAGACAATTATAATATACTTACATTTACAAAAAAGGGAATGATGAGCATTACAAAAGCCAGTTCAATTTTTGGATTATTAATTGGCGACAAAATAAAATCCTTGACACCCTCCCAGAAGTCTAGCTGCATAAATAAAGTTATGCTAGTCTTAACTATGGCCATTAAGCCAACGTAAAGGCAACATTGAGCTAACCAAGCATTCATGGACGGAGGCTTACCTTAAAAAAAATTATAATTAACAATAGATTTTACAATGCATACAAATATATATTACCATATTCTCCAAAATTAATCAATTCCCAGCCTTTTTTCCTGGACAAGTATTGAGAAAATCGAATCCCAATGAATATGATCAATAAACCCAATGATGAATCCAGCAGAAAATTAATTATATACCTAAAATAACAATTTAAATAAATAAACAGTGTATAAGATTGAAATTTAAATTAGTTACCAGGTACAAGGATCTCCAGTATATTGACCAGCCAACCATACGTTGGCTAAATGTATAGCAAGGGCACCCATGCCCTGCTTGGATGTGTCATAAAACCAAATCAACCATGACCTTCTTTCTGATCTCGGTTCACAAAAACGTTTCGCTAAAACATAATAAATATTATTAAAATTATAAATCAAGTAAGCTATGTAAGGTCAAAGTACAATGTTTGTTGCTTATCAACACATAAATTTACATATGTGCATCCTTGTTAAAATTGTTAATAAATAAATTGAGTTTAGTAAATTGCATAATGTATAATACCTATAAGGCATGTAAAAGCTAGACAGGCCAATAAGACTTGTAGAAACCATCCAAAAACATCAGTGAGAGAATCCTTGCTACAATGCAACCCTCCTTTATGATGATCAAAACTGTTCACACTTGTAGTATTCATTTCAATGTTTGAAACTTGCATACATTTTTGTAAATATGATATGATAATATAGATAATAAGACGGTGTTAGTTGTATACTGTAATTTGTTTGGCACTCATTAATACTGTCACAAACAATGTGTTTCTTTTTTCCTACGTAAAACCCGATTGCAAATGCAGGTACATTCTATTGTATTTGACAGCTGTCAGTGTCAAACGATGACGTCAGATGATAATAATCAATTATATATTAAATTGATTACTAATTGCACTTGATAATTATTTACATAAGTCTATTATCAATTTGGAAACAAAATTTGAAAATATTTTACATTTCAATATTCAAATTTATCGTATATTTGGTTGCATACTAAACGTACAAAATAAATTTAGAGAGGACGCTTCAAATTTTAAAATTAATTTATTATTGTGGATAAAGTTATTTTATACTTAATCAAGTTTGTATACTGTTATGTATATTCGTATTTTCCTTAAAAATAAATTCTATTAATATAAGAAAAGTGAGATATTTTAATGTCCTTTTGTATAATCCTGCAGATTTAAGGAAAACTTAAACCTCCTAACAATTAATTTTACTCGAAGATAGAATCAACTTATTGAGTTTTACATTTTCATTACAACTATTACTATATGTTTATACTCTAGCGCTGATCCTATATCGTTGCTACATTTTGCAAATATTTAAACTAAATTTAAAATTCAACACTTTTGGACTTAAATGAAACCAATACAAATATTGATATGTTCCAAACATTGAGAATAATCGAAAATTGAGTAATAAACACTTGAATAAGTTCTATTTGTTCGAAATAGTGCACAAAAAAGAATTTATTGGTTTATTGCAAATGCAGATCGTTCAAGTTACATGTATTACAGAAAAGTATTTAATTTTATAGACTGGGAGCGTAGCGCACTCCTGTAATTCATGCGATTGGAAGGTCGGGTTTTAGAGGATGGTTTGAGGTCGGGAGTCCTGGTGCAGGGTGTTTCCACGTCGACCAGGTGTCCACACTAAGCTCGGCGTCGATATGGGCACCCCGGAGGAGTCTGGGGTGGCCAGGTTGGCTAAGGAGAGGCGAACCGGGCCAGGGGAGAAATCCAGCAGCCAAAAGTCTCCGCGTTGTGCAGTAGTGGGATCGCGCCCGGGAGTGGAAGCCCTGTAACAGCCTGACCAATACAATCAGACCTAATCCTTTTAACACTCGCAAACCCTTTTCATAACCAAATTTTATCTACTTCAGTTATAATTTATACGAACAATTGCAATAACATTAGTTAAATTTTACTGCAGTTTATATATATGCAACTCTTTGTACATGCCTGCAGTTCTTATATAAGTTTTGTGTAAAGTAAGTTCCAATTGGATTACAATAACATAATGTAAAATTTGCTAAAGTCCATATATATGCAACTCTTTGTACATGCCTATAATTATTACATGAGTTGCTTGTTGTTACATAAGCGCATATTTTTGTTGATATATATTTTGAGTAATTTAAATACTTGTTGAAATTAGTGAGATCAAATTAAATTAATAATATTAGTTTTTATGTCAAGAAAAAAAAATAAAACAATAACATATAATTAAACAAAATGATTAGTTGCAAAGGGCTATAGGTTTTTCTGTCCCAAATTATTTTTTAAACTACTAATAATTGAAATATATATTTCATAATTATGCAATAAATTAAATAATTAAATTGATTTTATTATACAAGTATATTTAGGTGACTATAGGACACAGTTGTATTGCCTTTCTTTTTGTGTAATTAGAGTTGTATATTGACAGTTATTATTGTTTAAATAAATAAAATTTACGATCTTAGTAATATTCCCAATTAACTGGGTGTGAATAGGTAGGTATAGAGTTAGTGCAGACGTTGTAAATAATGTAAAAGGGCTCTAAGCATGAGGTAAAATGGATTTATGTTGCATTGAGTAAACGCAATAAATGCACATCAGTGTTAATATTGTAACAGAAGAGAGGAGAACGTTGAAAAATGTTAGTAGCTGATAAAACGGTAGCCAATAAAACCCCATTTTCCAGGAGCAGAGCGCAATAAAGCAATTTTTGTAGATGATATAACCGAGTCAAACACAATGTGGCATAAGAAACGTTCGAATTTGCCGTGGAAGAAGAGCACAGAAGTTTCAGTAGAATATAATTGGGGCCCGTATATTTCCAAAACAGTGTCGACACTTTTACAGCAACCTTCTTCTCTTGTAGACAAATACCGTCGGTGCTCTATGTCGTTCGCGGTAAGGGACGACCGAATTTTGCCTTCCGTTTAGTCATTCAAGCGTAACAGTTCCAATAAAATTACACAAAATCTGATTTTTCACAGTAGCAATAACCAAAAATCATCACAAATCTTCAGGTACATTTGTTGTTGCTACATTTAAGTATATTTTTAACAATCAATTTCAATCGAGATTATTAAAGCATTTGAAATTGAGATTAATTAATTATAACTCTTGAAAACGTAATTTAAATTCAATTGAGTTGGGGTGGTTGTCATAACATACGGTGGTGTAAAATGCACGGGGTGGAACGATTTCATCACCCTCGTATATTATAATATAATTGTAGGATTGGAATGTGCATATGCTACAAGGGTTGTGCCGTCTCCTCGCATATGGTTTTTGATTGAATATAGTTGGAGAGTTCATAATTGCAGTATGATGGGCATTGGGAGCAGTAGCATTGCAAATATGATGCGGCAATAAAAGAAAAGTGCCACCATAAACTGACTGGTACGGTACACGGCTTCAAAGCTGAACTAATTGGAACCAAAAGGATAAGATTCAACCGGGAAAACTATGAAAAGGACCGCCGAATTGTTGCTCTTCCCGATGTTACAATTCCTGTTCCGCTCCTAACGGATATTTATGGTCCTCATTGTGATCAGCGCGGAGATGAGCTAATAAATACACCGTTTATATGATTATTGCAGGCATAAATGCATAAAATCGGTGCACCTAAAACCCTACGGTAGTTAATTTTTGGTCACACCTAACATACACATTTCTATAACCATAAATATAGTACAAAACTAGTAGGGAACATAGATATTTATAATTATTTAATGCTCAATATGTTCTATATATTACTAGGACTTTCATAATTCTCAAATGAAATTCTAAAATTTTCGTTTTTTATTTTATATTTATAAAATATTACATTATCTTAATAAACAATAAACAAAATTAAAAGTTAATTATGTCATATTTTATATTAATATTAATATGTAATAAATATGGAATGTGGATACGAAGTACTTTTCAAAAGTAATAATATCCATAACACTAAAACTACTTATATTACACCTATTCACAAAGGCGTTACTATCGTCGGTCAATCGGACAAATGCCCGGGGCATAAAGGCTTGGGGGCCCCCACAGAGCCAAAATGAAATAATTAATTTGTTGGCGCAATTAGATTGCCTTATGAAAATGATATCGAAATTAAGGAATATTTTTATTGGTTTTGGAACTACGGTTTGGAACTACGGGTTTTGATTTAACTGAAGTGTTAAAAACTCAATTAGCCAATTTGGGTATACCTCTTCAAGATTGTAGAGGACAGTTCTATGACAATGGGGCGAACATGGTTGGTAAAAAACAAGAAGTTCAAGCAAGAATTTTGTCAGAAAATCCACATCTATGACAATGGGGCGAACATGGTTGGTAAAAAACAAAAGGAGTTCAAGCATGAATTTTGTCAGAAAATCCACATCCATTTTTTGTGCCATGTGCAGCGCATACTTTCAATTTATTATTAGGAGATATGGCTTCGACTGTTCCAATGGCAATAACCTTTTTTGGTGTAATTCAAAAGTTCTACATAACTTTTTCTAGCTCAGCTGCACGATGGAACATTGTAAAGAAACATCTAGACACTACTTTAAAGCCACTCGGTGGGAGTGTTGAATAAATACTATAAATGCTATTAGACATAATTTAGACAAATTAATGAACGCACTTATTGAATTAAGCGAAACAACAAATGATCCTAAAATAAAAAGCGAATCAATATCATTGTATAAACACGAAATTAATTTTGAATTTGGGTTTCTCTTTTGAAGGGTTTGGAAATCTTTTTAAAACACTTTACAAATGTTAGTTTTGCGGAATCAAAAGTCGAAGCTAAAAAATTATGTGAAAAATGTAATATTCTTCCAGAATTTAATAAAAAAAGTATAATTAGAAAATTTTGATTACGAAAAAAAAGATTCTTGAGTTAACGATTCTGAAATTAACTTTTATCGAGAATGCTTTTTACAAATAGTAGACCAAGATATAATGACTTATTTGGATTCCTCTATATTATACCAAATTTAAAATATGAAGAAAATGACAAATTTAAAAAGTTTTGTATCCTTCATTAAAATATGATGATGATGAATGACAACAATGGATAAATTAACGGAAATGAACTCTATGAAGAAATAAAAGTGTTTTGTAACATTTTCTGGCATATTGGTCACCATTAGAATGCCTTAAAAAAATCACCAAACAGGAAATGAATTTTAAAATTTAAGTTTAATCTTAAGAATTTTATTAACATTTCCGATAACCACTGCTGAGTACGAACGTAGTTTTTCAAAACTTAAAATAATAAAAAAAACTATTTAAGATCTACAATGACACAAGTAAGATTATCAAACCTAGCGTTGCTTTCAATAAAAAATGAATTATTTGAGGACTTAAATTTAAGTGAGATAATAGATAAATTTGCTGAAATTAAAGCAAACCTGGAATTGCAATCTTCATTTAAGGAATAAGATGAAAACCAGAAACAAAGGATTTTTAGTATTCATAGTTAATAAGATAATAGTTGTATTTGGATTATGAAATAATTCTTATAACAAATGATCAGCAAAATTTCAGTCTTTTATTGTTAGTTTTGTATATTCTAATATTTTAGTTTATTGAAGAAAGTTCACTGGTATTTTCAGATTGGCGAATTTACAATGATATTAATAGTAAAGATTATTTATTATATTATAGGTTTGTTAACTTTTCTTATATAACTAGTGTATTGAATTAAACAATATTTATAAACCAAATATTTAATTAGATCATTTAATATTTGTATTTTGATAAGTGTCTAATATTTGTTTAATTGAAAATTGACATTTGCAGCTAATATTCATAAATAGAT